TTAAAAATGGAGAGTAAGATTTTCAAGTCTTATACTAGAGTCAAAATATTCCTCATATATATATATATATATATATATATATATATGGGCTTTATAATTCTCGTGTTGAAGGAGAATTGAAATCTCATGTTGTAGAGATAAAAAATATGTGGGACCCATGTGTTAGAAAAATTATATGTAGGACCCATGTCAGCACAGAAATCGAAGGGTGTGTAGAAAAATTGTAATTATCATGTTAAATGAGAATTATAAACCCTATATATATATAAAGAGAGAGAATGAATGAATTTTGTTAAAATAAGAAGTCAATTAATTGTTTATAAATCTTATTTAAAGTATTAATATAAGTTTAGACGAGTTAAAAAATAAATCCAGCACTTAATAAAATACACTCGCACGTATTTAATAATTTCAGGTTAACACCAAAAAATATTTATTTCGAACCGAGCAAGTCCAGTCCGTGACGGATCAAATCAATATTTATTTGGATATGAGGTCCACGTAAAAAGATTAATTACCATTGCTTTAGAATCCGCTGTTGTCCAGCTTGTGGAAGTTCTGTTTTCATATTCAAGTGCCTGAATTGATATTTGAGAACAAAGTCTCTAGTCAAGATTCGATCATAAGACAGGCCAAAGTTTTTGTGTGTAACTATATAGTGGCGTGTGACAGTTTGGGAGCTTGTTGGAAGTTTGTTGGAAAACTGGGAACTTCAAGTGCTTAATGAACCACCTAGAGAGTGTTTGGAACTCATTAGGGGAGATTTGATGGGCGTTACTAGCCCAAGAATGTGTATTTCTGTTTAGTCTTATGTTTTCCCTGTATTTAAAAAAAAATAAAAAATCATAGGAATATACAAAGGACTAATTCATCATACTTGCACAAGCACACATTTACATTTGGAATTATTCTGATATTTTATCTCTCTTTTTCCATGGGTACCAGTATCCCTTATGACCACTATAGCAAGTCCCTTTACACTCTACTTATTTTCGGGAGATGCTATCGTAATTTTATTTAAATGGTCTAAGTTATGCACATGCTGCTCTAACATTTGGGCAATTGATTAATTAATCATCCAGGTACCCCAGTTTTTTCCTATTATCTCGAAGATTATCAACGGATAAACGCCCTTCAACATTTGTCATAACCATCAAGCGATAAGCATTACCAACTATCATAAAATAATTATTCTTTTACTTACGTTATATTTAGCAGACCCACCTAATTCGAATTTGACAAATCAAATAATCAATGAACTACTTGATAGTATTCATAAAAAAAAATAAAAAATCTAACAACGAGTTTTGTATGAAAAATCTATTTCTAAAATTTTCGGATCTGGATCCTCTAATGTGAAAATTCACATGACTATGTAATGTGGGGAATCATAACCATACAAAGGTGGATCAATGGTAAAAAAGGAGGAGAGAAAAAAAATGATAAAATAGGTAGTTACGAAATCATAACCGTTGATTTACCTTTGTATGGTTGTGATCTTCCCATATAACTATATCATGTTTTTTTGGCACTGATCCATTTCCAAAATTTTCACCTTCACTTTTAAAAGGTGTACCAATTGACTATCAAGACAATGTTATTAAATCCATCCGGATCAACGATTAGGTCGGGATACCTATTTAGTGGGTTAACGATCAGACTGGTTGACTCATATAAATATATTAAATATATCCAAATTTATATTCAAAATTTCATAAAAATATTCAAATACTTCTTTTTTGTGATAATAAAAGCCTTAACATGGTCGAGAGAACCTAAACAAATCTAATGTCACGTGAATGATATAAAGCACTTCACTATTTTATAGTTATTTTTAAAAAAATATATATATATGACCCACTTGTTTAAGGAAAATTGGCTGAATCATCATATTTTATCAAAAATCAGCTAAGTCGAATCGATTCTTACCGGTTTTTTAAATAGCCAATCTATTAATTCATTTGGATCGGTTCATCGATTTTCGGATCAATCCACCAAAGAATCAGATTTTATAACACTGCTTAGAGGGTCTAAAAGTTTGACACCTCACCCGATTAGAACTTTTTGTTCCAAATTAATTAATTAATCTAGAGGACTATGCGGCTATGCACAGCAGTACTGCTAAGTGCTAACTAAGTAGTGGCGCACTACAACGATTATGATGAGTCACGCATGCATATAGAGACAAAGATTCACAAAAATGTGGGAATATGCACCCAACTCCATAACTTGAAGACTTGAGATTTTAGAAATAAATCAACTCCTTCCTCTGTATGCATAGAGTTTACCTAATAAGATAACCATTTCTTTTTCTTTTGTTTTGGAAATAGATAACCATTTCTCCACAAATGGCGAACTTAATGGCCTGCCGTCCCTCATGATTAATTTCCAGTGTGATTATCCTTTTGCCCGTCAGAACCCATTATATATAAAAAAACATGATAGCGAATGTCTAATGTGTGTGACTGTGCTGGTTATAATTGTTAATTACTATACCTGTAATTTATTTGAAAAGTATGGAATTATTCCCACTGGGAGGGATTGGGAAACTTTATCGCTCAGCTGAACCGCATGATGTTATTGTTATGGTGTTGGCTTAGTTTCTAAAGACTCCTATAATTAGCGAGGTAGATTAATTAATGCTAAGGGATGCAGCTAAGAGGTTTTTTATTTTTCTTCTCTTCTTTTAAAATTACTTCGTTTTTGTGTAAATAATCTTCGCATGGCATTATGAGTTACTAACTAGTTGCTACCTCCACTTGAAGTTATCGTATATTTGGAGGTCAACATCAATAATAATATTTTCGTATATGGGTATATCTTCAAATGGCGCACTTTGCGTACGTGGATTGAGTGCTTGATGCATTTGTCCAGTGCGCATAAAGAATACGCATGCAATAATTCCACCAATACTGACTGTAGCTTCCGTAAATCATGATCCGCGCTGATGACACAATTAAACACCAAAACTGACTACCTAGATCAACTAGACTTGCTAAAGTATTTTCTCTCATATACCTAATTAATTAGGCTCATTATGTTTTTCTTAAATTAAATATATATCGTATTAAAGGTAAAATTCTTAACATAATTATCATTAAATCTATAGATTAAAAAAAACATGTTATGGACGTGATAAATGCCCACATTTTAGAAGGGCTAACAGTTAAGAGAATATTCATTGCTAAAGTAATGAATCAAGAACTGAACCCCCATTATTTACAAGAGGCTCATAATTTCACTACTGTCAGGCAGAGGCGGACCCAGGGGACGGGCTAGGATTGGCCATCACCCCTCCCTGATTTTTAGAATTTTTTTTACTATATATATATAATTTTGGGCTAAAAAAAATTAATTTTGGACTAAAAAAATTAGGTAATTGGGTTGAAAGTTTCAAAAAAACTTAAACAAACATAACTTTAGAGATTGAAATTGTAGTTTTTTCCAAAGGAAGTAGCAAACTTTTAGGGCTCAAGAAAAAAATTTAAAATCAGGCACACTTGATTATCAAGAGGTGGCGAAAATCATTGTCAAAGAAGACAACAACAAAACACAAACAGGGGTTCCAATTTTTTGAGCTAAATACTAGGGAAGGAAAAGAGCCCGCATCCATTGTCAAATAGAAGATAATTAAGACCAGAATTTGAAATTGAATGGAAGACCAATTTCTTGATGATTCTTTGATTACATATATTCAAAAAAAAATTATTTTGAATTTTAGCACATATTCAATTATAGAAAAGTTTAATAATATGAAAAAACGTAGAGCAAGAGTTAAGTGAATTGACCTTGAATTTTGTAATAAAACTCTTTCAAACTTTTTATATTAAGTTCATATATGATTGTATGTACTTTTCTTATTAATATAAAAAAATTCGCCCCCACTATAAAAAGTTCAGGGTCCGCCACTGCTGTCAGGTAACTCATCTATAAATAAAGGGATAAGTACATTGTAGTTAAAATTCCGATTTAAATATGCGATTTTACGCTTTTCTTTTAATCAAAACGATTTAATCAAAATTCCAAAAGCTTTTACGCTTTTACGATTTTTTTTTACGTTATGATTTTATGTTTTACGATTTTATATCCTCCTTCCAATTTTAGGTAGAATCTCGATTTTAACTACCATGGTTAAGTCAATAAGATACACACATTCTAAACTTTCTCTCGTAAGTGTCAATGTGCATATGTTCTATCCTTTGGCTATGCCCTTATTATAATAATGGATAGTGATTCGCTGACCTAAGGTATCTCTTTCATAAATACCTAAGAAAAGACGTACAGATCCAATATCAACATATCAGTTATCGGCTAAACATCTCTCTCTACGACAGAACAGATCCCAAATAATCTTAATATCTTTTATATCATTCTGTCCTGATAGAATAACTTCCCTTCAGAGAGTATAAATATTGTACTCATATTATCTCCACATTGCCTATTAATGGAGTGTGATATAGAAATTTTGAAGTTTGTGAAGAGCACAAAAATAAAGACGGTGAATAAAATGCATGAATGGAATGGACGGTGAACAAAATGCAGGACGAGGATGGAAAGATAAAGCAGTGGACAAATGTGATAGTTGGATTGAATTGGACTCTCTATAACGATTTTTATATAGAACAATCAAATAGTACCTCTTTTGGGATAAATCAAGAACACTGCATAACCTATCGATTAGGAATTCATAACTCAAATATAATAGCAACTCTAAATAAATTCTAATTATATACAGAATCTTAATAAAATAAAAATATTCTTAAAGCAACTAAACATCCCATCGATATATATCTGAAGTAATTAACATAATTATCAAATGTCTAAAAACAACCAAAGACAAATTCTCAAATGAAAAATAACACATAATCCTAAGATCTATTTTTTACATCACTAGACCGATTGCTTATATATATGCGGGTGCTCCCAAGTATGCTCCTCATTGGCTTGGTGTGCAATCTATGTGAGATCTTACACATTAACTAATTGAACACCAACAAAATGGAAGAGAATACCAGCATGAAAGGCAATTCAGTTTTCTTGCTATTATTCTACTCTCTCTTGCTGTTTCTTGGAGTGTCAAGATCATCCGCATACATCATTGAAGCAGGGAAGGGTAGTAATGATGACACTACCCCTAATGACAATAGAGTTTATATCGTGTACATGGGAGCCGCAGATTCAACAAATGCTTCCCTTCGGAATGACCATGCTCATATTCTGAGATCAGTGCTAAGAAGGTAATTAACTACATCTATATCTTGTAGGGACATCAATTAATTAAATTGTTATATATGTTACTTAACAGTAGTCACATAAAATTGTGAAGGAATAAGAAGGCTCTAGTACGCAACTATAAACATGGTTTCTCAGGGTTCGCAGCTCGTCTATCAAAAGAGGAGGCAAACTCAATTGCTCAGGAACCTGGAGTCGTGTCTGTCTTCCCTGACACCATTTTGAAGCTCCACACAACACGTTCCTGGGATTTCCTCGAGTACCAAACTCACGTCAAAATCGACACCGACCCAAACACGGTCTCCAATTCTTCTACCTCATCAGACATCGTCATTGGCATCTTAGACACAGGTTATTATTAATATTAAAATAAATCATACATACATACTCCTCTATACTTATTATTCTATCCTTATCATAAATTGAATATAGTACCCGATTTGTTAATTTCATCATTTCAATAATTATTAACCAATGAATACAAAAAACGCAATACAGGCATATGGCCAGAGGCGGCAAGTTTTAGCGACAAGGGTATGGATCCTGTTCCGTCCCGTTGGAAAGGCATCTGCATGAAATCGAAAGACTTCAATTCATCTAACTGTAACAGGTAAAAGGCCCACTAAAGTTACTAAAAAAAAAAAAAAAAGGCCAACCAAAAGAGGAAAGAGAAAAAAAAAAATCAAATTCTAACCACCTTAGCTTCTTCACTCTTGTTTACGTTATTTAGCTTTTGGTTCTATTCATATTTCATAGATATGATGACGGTGGGCGGGTCCCTTTAGAGTAACAGCTATCAATTATTTTCATTGTCATCAGGAAGTTAATCGGAGCAAGGTATTACTTTGACCCTGATGATGAAGAGGTCAACACTCCAAGGGATACGTTAGGCCATGGGACCCACGTGGCGTCCACGGCGGCGGGGGTCACCGTCACTGATGCATCATACTATGGTCTTGCGGCGGGGAACGCCAAGGGTGGGTCGCCGGAATCCAGATTGGCCGTTTACAGAGTGTGCGGCCGCTCGGGGTGCAGTACCTCCTCCATCCTTGCGGCGTTTGATGATGCGATTGCTGATGGAGTGGACGTGCTATCGCTCTCTCTTGGTTCTCCCGCCGTGATTCGACCCCCATTGACATCCGATCCTGTCGCCATCGGAGCGTTTCACGCCGTGGAGCACGGCATCGTGGTGGTCTGCTCCGCCGGTAATGATGGACCGATGCCACACACGGTTGTCAACGACGCGCCTTGGATTTTAACCGTCGCAGCCACCACCATCGACCGGGATTTTCAGTCTAACGTTGTGTTGGGTGGTAACAAAGTGATCAAGGTGGGTGCATATTACAGTGGTAATCATAATTCTTGTTTTGTTATCGTTTTTAGGAATAGCTTTAATATAAAACAAGAAATTACTAATTAAGTAATTACAATTTATTAATAAATTTACTTATTTACTATTGTGATTAGTTTATATTTAAATTTTGTTAATAAAACAACTATATCACTTCAGTGATTGAAATTGTTTTTTCTTTATAATATTAGACTACTTTAAATGTTTAGGAAAAAACATCTATCATTTTAAAAGATATAAGCTTATATCATTTTAGATCCTAACCGTTGATTTCCGTCCATCAACCGTTATAATTTGTTGGATTAAAATTATTAATTAATTAATAATAAATTTGGCCCATTAAGTTTGACCCAATAGATTATAACCGTTGATGTACGGAAATCAACGGTTAAGATCTAAAATGAAATAAGTTCATATCCTTTAAAATGATAGATGTTTTTCTTAAATGTTTATTATAACAATATTAAAAAAAAAGTAACCATACAATAAATATATATATATATGTGTGTGGTTTCAGTTCCACGTTATAATAACAATAATAAAGATACATAAATATTGTTACCAAAAAAAGATACATAAAAATTAATGACTTTAACTTTTTGGTGAAAGACTAGTTTTAATCAGTTTGGGGGAGAAGATTTTTTGTGGGGTCCTTCCCCCAAAATTAGAAGGATCACTGAATAAATAGTGGACCTGGAGCATCTTAAATTTTTTCATCTCCGGACCCAAAAAGAAAACTATTGCTTCATTCCGGTTTCCAAATTCTAAAAACCCCACCCTTGCTTTCTTATAACCTCCGCTTCCTTTTCCCAAGATTTAGTGGTAACTAGAATATAGTTTGACAAGGTTAAGCCATACTTTTAAATTTAAAATCTTGATATTTATACATTACTTTTAATTTTTTAGTTTAAAACTTTAGAAAATGTTAAAATCCTATTCAAAATAAATAATACGAAAAAAATATTATTTTAAATCGGCACATTGCAACTGATGCTATCTGTTCTCATCGTTGGTGATTATTATTAAACTTCAGGGCGAATCCATAAATTTCTCCCCACTTTCAAATTCTCCCAAGTATCCATTGATATACGGTGAGTCTGCCAAGACAAGTAAAGCCAGCATAGTTGAAGCAAGGTACGTACGCAAAATCTACCAAACAATGAATAAACAATTGGCAATAACAAACATGGATTTGATCAATTACTTGTCAAAACTTAAAAGCTCTTGGAAAAAAAAAAGTTATATTATTTGTCAAATGCATGCAGAGAATGCCAATCAGATGCATTAGATAGAAATAAAGTCAAAGGGAAGATTGTCCTCTGCGATGGCCAAAGTAATTCAGATTCAACTAGTGATATAGCTGACACGTTGAAAGAGGTGGGAGGATTAGGTCTGGTTCATATCACTGACCAAGATGGAGCAATGATATTGTCTTATGGGGACTTCCCAGCAACAGTGATAAGTCCCAAAGATGCCCCCACAATCCTCCAGTATGTCAATTCAACCAGGTAAAAATTAGATGCCAACGGTTTGGGTCACTATTTAATAAACACCCTTAATTTTAGAATTCGCTTTCATAGCTGATTGCGGGTTAATTTGATTTTATATATATAAAATCTGAAGCAATCCAGTGGCAACAATTCTACCGACAGTATCAGTCATTGATTACAAGCCTGCACCTATGGTGGCATACTTTTCATCAAGAGGGCCTTCAACACTCTCAAGTAATATTCTCAAGGTAAGCATATATATGTATATATATATATATATAGCTGATAGTGATAAGATTATAAATCATGATAAATTATCCTCAATACTCAACACTAATCAGGGACCTGCTTTATTTGTAGCCTGATATAGCAGCACCAGGAGTGGACATTCTTGCAGCATGGATTGACAATGACGAAGAAGATGTTCCAAAAGGAAAAGAGCCCTCTCAATACAACATCGACTCCGGGACTTCCATGTCATGTCCACATGTTTCGGGGCTTGCTGGCAGCGTTAAATCTCGGAACCCCACTTGGAGTGCCTCTGCAATCAAATCAGCAATCATGACCTCAGGTTAGTATCTTATTTAGTTATAGTTAAATAGAAATCAATGTCCCTAGACCCTATTTAATATAATCCTGATATGAGATCTAGCAATTCATCAAGTCCTACTTTTCTAAATGCAGCAATTCAAAACAACAATTTGAAGGAACCCATGACAACGGATTCAGGGTCGGTAGCCACACCTTATGACTATGGAGCAGGGGAAATGACAACATCAGGACCATTGCAACCAGGGCTAGTTTATGAAACCAGCACCATTGACTACTTGAACTACTTGTGTCACATTGGACTTAATATAACCACGATTAAGGTCATCTCCAGAACTGTCCCTGATAGTTTCAGTTGTCCCAAGGATTCGAGTTCTGATCATATTTCCAACATCAACTACCCTTCCATAGCAATCTCCAACTTCAATGGGAAAGGAGCTGTGAATGTGAGTAGAACTGCTACAAACGTTGGTGAAGAGGATGAAACAGTGTACTCCTCCGTTGTCGATGCTCCCAGTGGGGTAAATGTCAAGTTAATTCCAGATAAACTCCAGTTTACGAAAAGTAGTAAACAACTAAGCTACCAAGTTATTTTCTCCTTGACTTCGACCTCGTCTAAGGCAAATCTGTTTGGATCCATTACCTGGAGTAATGGTAAATATACTGTTCGAAGTCCTTTTGTATTAACCCAGTAGTTACATTAAAAATAAGTAAATAACCATGAATAAAAGCAAGCTAAGTTCTTCTGGTTACCTAACCTTCAGTCTTGATTATTTATTTGCCCTCTTTTTTAATTTTAATTTTAATTTCTCAAATTTCTTATCTATTTTATATTTTATAAAAAAAACGAACTACTTTCTATTTACACTTAAAATTAAATCCAACTTACTCACCACACCTTTTGCTTACGAAAAAGAAACGTGTTTCAATAACTTTAATGACTTGGCTAGATGGAATCAACATCAGTTTTATGCTTCAAAAGCAAATTCCTCCTAATAGTTGCAGACTTAAGATGACTTAAATAAAATATGATAAGCCACTGGGATTGGTTTAGCGGTAAATGATAAGTTGTATTAAGTTATGTGTTTAATTCTTACTTGTATACAAAAAAAGACTTACTTTTTAAGAAATTTTAAACAAGTAAGGGACAGTAAGCTCATGAAATTGGGAAATGTTAAGTGCAGACAGACGTAACGAGAAGAGTTCGACTGTTTGCGCCAATATAAAAGTTTAGTCAGATCTAGTTAATCAGAGGGCAACTGTGAAGTCAGATGCAGACAAAGAGTAGAACTAAGCTACTGCAAGCAAGCAAATGATATTTACGTCCGATGCTTGTCCGCATGATTTATTACGAGAGTCAACATGTAACGAGTTCAACACTTCCTTTCATTGAAATACATTATTTATATATCACTGAGCTATTTATCTTCCAAGATTTTACATAATAAAATATACTGTTATATTTGTTATTATTGTACTAGTATAACAAGGGAAAAACTATTCTCATGTCACATATGAGACAAGTTTTTTCTCATACACACTCTTCGATAACTGTGTCACATTTTTCTTTTCTTTTCTTTTCTTTTCTTTTATGAGGTGGTGGAACCCACTGGTTTGTCTCTATAACATGAGATAACTATCTCATTTAACATGAGATTAATAAAACCCATATAACAATCATAAAAGGAAAAAATATTTATCCTTTTAAATGACACAACTTATATTTTTTCACTCTCACAAAGAAGTGGGACCCACATTTTTTATTTTTTTTGTCAACTCTCTTTCTTCCTTTATGTATCTCTTTCTCTCTCTTAAAATGAGACAACTTTACATCCTTTAAAATGACACACACTTTACCCATCATAAAATTATGAGTAAACAAATGCTTCATTCCTTGTTTTAACCCAACAGAATCAGAATCTCAAGACAAAATAACACTTTTTTTTGGTAACTAATATTGCTGGGTAATGCATACAAAGACAAATTATTTCGTTTTCTATTCGCCAAAGAGAGCTAGCTTTGGTAATTTATTTAAAACTTTTTTTTTATTCAAATGTATTTTGAACAAAATGAGTTTTGTATTGAAAAAAGTTCACATGATTTTCATATTTTGTAAGAGTAAGTTATTAGGGTAATTTAAGGAAAATTACTTTTTGGTCAAAAATAATGCATATATTTGTTTGTGTAAATATTATTTTAGTAACCAAAAATACAGTCTGGGCCAAAACGCATTGAGGTGCCCAGGATGCATTCTGAAGTCAAGTTTTGCCAACCCCAAATTAATCTTTAGTCAGAATACATAATAGGCATCCAGAACCAGAAGAATGCATTCAAGAATGAAAACCAAACAGGTTTAGAATCAAACAAATCTAATTACAAAGAATGATTAGTCATATACACCTGAAGGAAAAATGATGAGAACCGGAACATACCAAAAAGTATATCACAATCAGCAGGAGATAATCATCACATGGTCCAATTAGTGCGAAGCATTAAAGCAGCTATTTTAGAATTTCCATCCATTACATATGCAAGACCTGGCTTCAACCAAAATTTATTACCCATATTAAATTTTAGATAGGATTCTGCCTGAAAATGATCCCCGCTTTCTGAATCTCCAATCATCCCACTGAGACTAATTCCCCAGCCAAATGAATCTTCAGAAACATCAGACATGGATACAGACCATTGTGGAGATTTGGGATTTAATTTGTTCATCTCAATCCAACCTCCAATTCTTGTAAAGTCATCAAGTTCAGACTCCACCGTCAAAGCAATAGAACCAGCTGAGACCTGTGGCAATGCTTCAGGTACTACGTCAGAGACGTCATGTTGCTTGGACAAGGCAATTGGAATTGTAAAAGCTCCAAATTTTCCAAGTTGCCTTGATGAAAAAGGCATTTGATGAAAACCCAGAACAGACAGCTTTGTTCCTCTAGTTAATTGACACACAAGCTGCCCGAAAGTGCTGCATCTATTCTCCATTGTATTATAACCAGACGGCATGCCCAGTCCAGCAACAAATTGAGCCAATGAAGCAATAACATTTGACTTTCTCACAGTTATGCCAATGGCGCTACCATTGTGCAGATTCAGAAGCGGTGGTCCAAAAGAGGAAAAGTTCATATGGCCCTTTCCCAGCTGAATTGGCACAAAACCATATCAATATATCAAGGGGCCTAATTAGGAGAGGGTAGAGAAATCCAAAAAAATAAAAAAGACACAATGACTTATAGAAGATGACATTTGGATTAAATGTTTTTTCTACTCTAAACAAAACGGATGACTCAACATGCCAAAAAAACATGGTCCATGCAATTTATTTACATTTATGGCCATAATGAAGAGAAATCAGAGAAATAATGTTTAATCCAGTAGATGAGCTGATTTTAAAAGGACTATATCTTAAGGGAGAAATATACTGTTCCATTTACAGTTAAGAAATTCAAGAATCCAGATAAAATGCAAGCAAAATAGAGGTAAAGTAAACAACTCAACCAGAAACTAGATAAACACGTGACTTGACCTCAGGGTAATGAAATCCATGTACTTGGGACAAACCACATCCACATACAAGAACACATTTGTTACAAAATTTTGAAGGCTAGGCATTATGTTTTTAACAGCTAGTGCGCTGTTTCAGGGCTTTCCAATACTTTTTACACAATTATGAAGGAGCATAACAGATTACTAAACGCATGAATATGCACTCTTCTACAATTTGGTGTCCCCTGATTTTAGGGGGTGAGAAACTGAGAATTTCAGGGAAGAGATTTTCCTGATATGATAAATTATGTGAAAAACTCGACCCTGAATTTTTCATTTTTCATCTCCAATTTTAAGGGAATACTGAACACCAAACTAACTGCTAGTTGCAACAAATTCTAACAGTGAACTGAATATCACTAATATCATCGGACAAACATACGCAATTATATAGTACCTGGTCAGAAGAATTTGAAGCAATTACAACATCCCTGCATTGGGCTCCCATTGGGATAGCCATCAGAGATAACCAATCACTAACATTTGCTCTATAGCTGAGTTTCGCCAGAGAAAGTGGCATGTCAAGGACATAATCATGATGTTCCTTTCCTTTCTGAGTGACCACAAATTCTGCAGCAAGGGTATCCTTCTGCCCAATGGTTGTTTCGAAAACGAATCTCAAATCAATGCCGGTTCTTATTCCAGACCTATTTAAGGCATCTAAGTTCTGCTGATTAAGGTTGTCCATCACCAACAAACCCCCCAGGAAATCCACTTGTCCTCTTACATGGGTGGCAGCTTCCTCGAATGGACCTCCTTTGGACGATTTATACACGGAAAGCATTCTCTCAACCTTTTCTTGTCTGTCTCTGAGTTTCATAAGATCCGAGAAAGCTTCTCTTTGTAAACGTTTAAGGATTTCAATCTGAAATTATGATTGCGGACACAGCTATCAAAAGCACAACATAAAGAAAAAAGCTAGAGAACTAACTATGTATATCGAAAGACAGGCACAGCATTTGATGTTATCTTGGTTTGGTTATTTTAAATCATAAAAGGAACTAGTATAGTAGCACCAATTGGAAAAAGGTGATAATGAAGGAGAACATGGTTATTAACGTGTTTATACAATAAGATAGAATCATGAAATAAGAGAGAGAGTTGTTTAGCAAATACCGGATTGCGCCGACGAAAAAGGCCGTCAAAAAAGTCTTGACCGGATTTGGCAAAAGCTTTCAATTGGTCGAACACTAAACCTACAGGCTCCATTACACGACGGAACGAACAAAACCTCCGTCGTTCACTGATTAATGATGATCGTATTGCACGAACATTTCACAAAAACGACGGAGCAAAACTTGTCTGTCTAGCTGTGACTTTCTCCTCTTTATGCCCAAATAACAAAAGGCATTTCAAAACAAGATAAGCCCATTTCAAAACAAGGTCCAATTTTGTGCCAGAAATATAAGCCCATTTCAAAACAAGCCTTTTAATGGTTGTTATAAACATAACCTACTTGTTCAATTTGCGACATTTGGCCTTTGACAAGGAAATTTACCTTCGAATCCGAATGCAAGCAAATAAATGTTATAAGGTGGTTACCACAAATTAAACTAACTTTAATATTTCTAAAGTGAATGTAGATAAGTTATTTACATTTGTTCTCAAAACGACGTCGTTTTGAATTGAAAAATTAAAAAAATTATAATGAAAAAGACTATTATAACCTTCAAATAAATTATAATTACAAAAATAAATTGATTTCCGTCCCAAAACAACGTCGTTTTGGACTCACCGTGGATAAGTTATCTACGTTGACGGTAGAAAAAGCGAACCCATCAAACTATTAGAGTAAAAAATATCTCTATTCAAGTTCTTACAATTTTATTTTTCTTAATTAAAAATAAAAAAAATTGGCATGGAATTGAAGATACTGAAATTCTGAAAATATAAGGCACATCCTGTATAAAAATTGGGATCTTATCCTTTACAATAAGTGAATGATCCAATCATACATTTATTTGTTTATTTCACCATGTAGCAAGACTTGAGTGATTTGACCGGAAGTCTAAATTAAGGGCAATGAAGTTGAATCAAGTGGTCTCAGAAGAAGCTGTTTACATATTTGTTGACGATTTTATCAACAAGAATCTGGTACGTTCTCTCGGTGGGATGGTAGCTGTCCCAAAACACATATTTAGAATCGTCTGCGCAGGTTTCCGTTTCTAACTGATTACACAATATCGATGCCTCTACAATCCCCGTGCCGCAGCATCCCTTGTCAACAACTTCAAAGCCTGAAATTCAATTTAAAGATTTAGGAGCGAAAGAGGAAATGGGAATAAATGTATATAACTATATATGTTGGTGAAATCAACAATTTTTTTTTCTTTCAATTTCCCCCCCTAAAAAAAGATGTTTTTTATTTTTTATTTTTTGAGGGGGACTAAACAAAATTATGTTGATTTCACCAACACATGTGATAGAAGTTTTTTTTTTTTCATAAAAGGCAAAGGATGTATGTATTAGTAGTTTAGTACCATATGTGGTTGGGTTTTCGATGATATGAAGCAAAGGGTTGTAAACATCAACATACACCACCTTCGCTTGAGGCATATTTTGGTTTAGGTAGTCCATCTCTGCAGAGAGTTTAGCATTAAACAACGTTGATGCCATGTTTATTTCTTGGGAGCACTTTCTCTCTATTCCTCCAAACAGCGTTCGCTCAAATGGCAAGCATCCTACTGGGGGTGCACCAAACACTCCTATTCTCCTTGCCCCCAATCCATATATTTCCTTTGGAACATCACAGTGGAAAAATAAAATATAAAATAAAAATACTAAGGGACGTGAAAAGGCAAAACAAGATACATTATTTTACCAAAAAAAAAAAAAACAGCTATTAGAGGATTTAAATCTGCTGTCCCTTTTTCTGTGTTTTTATCTATTCAATTAAATAATAATATAATAATAAAAAATAATTTTCTTTTAAACGAAATATAATACCTTTTTTAGTTATCAGTCACTTTTTTTTCTAAATTGTCATTAGTTAATTAAAGGGAACGGAAAAGAGACAGCAGATTTCATTTCGTTATTAAAATGATGGACGGAAACTTAAGTTAAAAATATAATCATCTTTGATCTTTAATTCTTTGTCATGAGGGATAGAAGGAGGGTATTGAGTGTGAGATTACCTTAATGAAAGAAGAGGCAAATTGCGACAACATATCAGTGTAAGAGTTAATATCATATTGCGCTTTCCTAATTCCAGATGCATAATAAGAATTGGCAATGTCGTTGCTGCTCGCTACCACAAATACTAAACTTTTGGACAAGATGAAGTTGGTTCTTTCTTCCCCAAAATTTCCTTTCAGCTTTTCTATGTATTCTTTGAATTGCTTCAGTTGCTCAGGTAACGGTATGACTGACTGTGTTCCCAGAGTAACAAGGTACACGAAAAATAAGTTAGTATGCGTTTTGTGTGTGAGTTAATTTGCAAATTTAATTTTAACTGAATATTCATTTTGTAAAATTGGTTTTAGTTAAAAATAAGTTCAAAATGAATTGATTGTATTTTCATATATTTAATTATTTATGTGAAAAGTAATAATAAATCACTCGGGTTTGCAAAGTTTAAGTTTAAAGTTTGTATCAAAAAAAAAAAATTAAGTTTAAAGTTTATATTTGAAAAAAGAGATTGTTTTCATATTCAAATCGGTAAATTTTTTTATCACAGAGGAGCAGCTTTGACTCGCCCTCTCTACGTGAAGAGTAATTATAACATCGTGAATATTATTTAAATATAGAGAAATAATACTCTCATGCTGCATAAGATACCTATCTCATATCATAGATCTATAGAATTTTGTGCCAATTTTTTTTCTTTTTTCTTTTCTTTTTAAACCACATATTTGTATTATCTCATGTAACATGAGATTAGTAAACCCCTTAAATATAATATTTACCACAATTCCACAAAACAACAAATTCGTACTTCTATCTAAACTTAAATTTGAGTCCCGAATCATAGTCATAAAAAAATTATCAAACAAGATATCAATTTCTTAAATCCACGTTTTGATTTTACATTTTACATGGTGCAAACGTATTTTCAAACACAATATTAGAACAAATAATTATTCAACAGGACGAGATCGTTAGTTTCTAACAAAATGATGCGATAGGTTTGAAGCAGGGAGGAGTGGAGAGCAAGTCGAAACACATGAAGGGAGACACTGAGGCTTGCTATGTTTCATAAAATTCAAATCCAAGGAAAAGAACCTTACGGACAAATCATGTTAGATTAAAAAACAAGATATGAAAGAGGAATTGTTTTAAAAGCTTAGACACACTAATAGCATGACACGTTTGATTCGCAAACTGTTTTGTGTAAAAACTTAAATATTTTGGAAATGGATTTTCTAGTGTTAAAAGAAAAAAAATGACATGATCACGTGGAAATATTATAATCATACAAGAGTGAATCAGTAATTTTGATTTTGTAATTATCTATTTTAATATATTTTTTTCTATTTTTTTATCATCATTAATTCACTTTTGTATAGTTATAATTTCTCGTATGACTATGCTATATTTTTTTAACAAGAAAGAAAGGATCTAAATCCAAATATTTTTCATTTACAAAATGAATGAGACGAGAGGTATCCATAAATCAAGCGCATGTACCTGCAATTTCGGGGTCAAAGGATCATATCCGGAGCCACCCGACGCGAAGTTGACTCCCGTAAGGAGTTCATCGGGCTGCAAACTCGGACTGTTATATGATGGTATATATCTTTCGATTCCCAATTCTTCCGCTGAATTACCAAAATGAAAACATTGATTTGAGAATTAGATTGAAAATCAGAAGCAAAGTGATCAATTTATTTTTCGGGTCTGAAAAAAGAGGAGTGAATATATTAAAGTTATATTTTGTTTTTTTATTTAGATAATGCTACGTGAACATTATTTAAAGAAATTAAAAAAAATGAACTATTAATGGATTGCATTTAGATTTATCATTTATATAAACAGATTTTGATATGACAATACATACATAGAGATGTTAATTTAATGGTTTAGAAATATGCGTGTATGTGTAAAGTTATATTTCTATGACAAAGTTACTCTTTTCGTCTTTGGATTAAAAATAAAATAGAGGTTTTTTTAAAACAAAAATCTTGTATTAAAATTTCTTATACAAATAAAATTTTATATATATGTATATATATATATATATATATATATATATATATATATATAATTGCTTAACAATATGTAATTTTATATAAAACGGTTCCATATAACTTCACATGGATTTTACTGTATAAGAATATACACGTGAGTTTGAACATGTATAAAATTTATTTAAAGCGCGTTATTCAATTTTCAGATGATAGAATTTACCAAAAAAAAAAAAAAAAGCCTCCGCTAATGAAGCCAAACGGACATTGGAAATAATAAAGTGCGAAAAAAAAGGGGGCAAACTCTGATGTAATTAATAACCAATTAAGAATCTTGTCACTACTCTGACCAACATCTTTAACCAGGCTCGGGTTCAGAGTTATGTGAGTACGTACCAAAATAAGTAAGACCGTATAAAATAGGAAAACTTCATTTTCATCCGGTGATTTTGTGATTTATCATTTGATTTCTGGTGATTTTAAATTTATCACTTAAATTTATTGTACTGAAATAATTTATCATTTAACTCCTTATGGTTTCAAATTTCACTTAGATCTTTTGTGGTTACAAAAATTTCACTTAAATCCATTGTAATTTAAAAAATAAACATTTTAAAAATATATTTAAAATAAATTTTCTCTCTTTTTTATTTTATATCCTCATGTAATGTAATGCATTTAGGGTTTGAAAATATTTTAAGTTATTTATTCTGAAATTAATTTTTACATTCTTAATTTTTTTTATTTTAACAATATATTTGAAATTAAAAAAATTATTTAGATGAAATTAAAAAATATTATTTATGATAAATTAAATATGTATTATCAAGATAAGATATTACTTTCTTTAAATAGATAAAAAAAATATTTGATTTGAATTTATTTTCTTGATAAAAATAAGTGAATTTTTTTAGAATTTATTTTTATTTTTTAAACCTTATTAAATGCATTAGGTGAGGATATAAAATAAAAAAGAGGGAAAATTTATTTTCCTCTTATTTATTTTTTAAAAATTTTATTTTTGTTACAAGGAGTCTAAGTGAAAATATTTTTAACCACAAGGAGTCTAAGTGAAAATTTGAAATCACAGGAGGTTAAATGATAAATTATTTAAGCACAATGGGTCTAAGTGATAAGTTTAAAACCACGGGGTCAAATGACAAATCACAAAACCATAATGGGTGAAAATGAAGTTTCCCTTATAAAATATCTTGTAGAAATTTAAACGTGAATAATAATTTTTTATATTAGTTAATAATGAAAAAGTAAGTATAATTCAAAACGAAAATATTTATGAATTTATTGTTCTAAGATGTAAAAAAAATAAAGCTTTGTATTATTGACAAACAGTTCATTATCTCAACAATTTTATCAAACATTTTAATAATTATTTTTATTTGTCATATTAAAAATAAAGGAGAGGTTATAATTACTACTTTTTTTTCTTACTACTTGTTACTACCAAATCTTAACCGTTGATTTTAATCAATCTAACGATTATAATTTAATAGAATTAATAATTAATTAACAAATGTGACCCAATAAATTATAACCATTAGATTCGTAGAAATCAACGATTAAGATTTAGTAGTACCAATTAATAAGAAAAATAATAATAACTATAACCTTTTCCTAAAAATAAATTAAAAAAATATTTTTCGAAACATTGTCCGACACACCCTAAACTTTCCTATAATATTTCGCAAGGTGACTTACATGCTGTTAACTTTCCTTAAAAAGTCAAGCAACCAAAAAAAGGAAAGCAAAATGAGTCATATACATTTATAATTGGGCTTGCTCTTTGTCATTTTAAATGACATAAGTTATGTCATTTTAGAAAAGAGATATACACAAAAAATAAAAATTATGGGAGAGAGAAAGTAGGTGGCTTTTTTTTTAAGAGATAGGTTATTCTACCTATCATTTTTTCTGCCTACCACCCTCTAACACCGCTAGATCATAATCTCAAGAAGAAAGAGAAAGACAGTGGCGGAGCCAGACCAAAAGTTTAGGTGGTGCCAAAAAATTTTAACATAATAAATTATCAAGATATTTATCGTAATTATACAAATTAATCAAAAAAAATTATTATGAATTCTAGCATAGTTATTTAAATTATGTATTAAATAATATCAGATAACATTGAAAATTCAAATGAACAATCGTTAATGATTATGGGTTCGCTTTTTCTGCAGTCATTGTAGATAAGTTATCTGCAGTAAGCCCAATACGACGTCGTTTTGGGACGGAAATCATGGGGTTTTTGTAATTTTAATTTATTCTACGATTATTATAGTCTTTATAATTATAATTTTTTAATTTTTCAATCCCCAAACGACGTTATTTTGAGAGTAAATGCAGATAACTTATATGCATTAGGTGCAGAAATATTTTTCTAAATGATTATATATCAAAGCAAACATATAAAAAGACACTAACCTTTTGGGTAAGCATTTCAAACATAAGAATTTCACTTTCCTCCCATAGCATGATAAGTAATGAACCAAGCATTGTCATAAGGATATGAAAACACACAAATATAATATTTTTCTATAAATTCCACTTTATAATTGAGATATTAACTACAAATTAAAGCATACAGACAACATTTAGAGTCAAAGCGATTCTCCTTCATTATACTTTTCTATTTACAAAATATATTTTTGTATGATTCTTCCATCTTTTCATTTCGTAAGCCATTGCTATTTCAATCGAAGTCTTGCAGAGCTAGCAAGTTGTGCAACAAGTCAAATGAAAAAAGGAGCAAGAGAGAGAAATCTAATTGCAATTGTAAGTCACAAATTAGGACTTTTAAAGTGATTTTAATTTATGGGTCAGGTAAAAGGATTTGGATATTGGATTTTATTTTTCTGATTGAAAAATATTAATATAATTATATTTATTTAGGTGATGCCAAATTATAAATTTAATCTTTGTTAATTATAATTAATTACATATTTAAATATAATAAATAAAATTTTTAAAACCAAGCAGGTGCCAAGGCACCTGCTGGCATAGCAATGGCTCCGCCATTGGAGAAAGATAAATGTTAGTTAAGATTCTGATCTAACGGTGTTAGAGGGTGGTAGGCAGAAAAAATAGTAGGTAGAATAATCTATCCCTTTTTCTGCCTACCACCCTCTAACACCGTTAGATCAGAATCTCAAGAAGAGAGAGAAAGATAAATGTTAGTTAAGATTCTGATCTAGCGGTGTTGGAGGTGATAGGCAGAAAAAATGGTAGGTAGAATAACCTCCAACACCGCTAGATCAGAATCTCAAGAAGAGAGAGAAAGATAAATGTTAGTTAAGATTATGATCTAACGGAGTTGGAGGGTGGTAGGCAGAAGAAATGGTAGGTAGAATAATAGGTTATTCTACCTACCATTTCTTCTGCTACCACTGTCTACCACCCTCCAACACCGCAAGATCAGAATCTCAAGAAGAGAGAGAAAGATAAATGTTAGTTAAGATTCTGATATAACGGTGTTGGAGGGTGGTAGGTAGAGGTAGACAGAAAAAATGATAGGTAGAATAACCTATCCTTTTTTGAGATGACATAACTTTATATCATTTAAAATGACAAACATTTTTTTCTTTATAATTTTATGATATTTTTGAAGATTGGATAATTGAAATAGAAACTGCAAAGACATTTAACTAATTTCTTTAAAATCCAAAGCATTTCATATTTTTAAATATAATTAAGATGATTTAATGAAAAATAAATATTTATTTATTCAATAAGGATATAGACATTTACAGTTTCTTTGAAGAATTTATACTTTTGCTTATACTAGTACTATGACCATTGAATAGCTATTGAATGAATTTGCAATTGCATGCAGAGAAGACAATTAGTAGAATAAAGAAGGGATATTTAAGTACCTATGAAGTCGGAAGGGACCTTGCCATTGGAGAATCTTCCTGTTGGTCTCCCTTCCTGGAAATCCCTCCCATAAGGAAGGAAATTGCACTTAGCCAGCGTCATTATGTAATTGTTGCTTCCTGTGTCAACGATTGAATCTCCAAACATTATCAGTGCTGGAATTGTTTCATTGCCTGGCAGTTTAATGATAGCCTCTGCAGTATAAAAAAGACGGAGACACAAAACACAACAAAGAAAGACCACAGACTTAATCGTGTACCACTCCATACTGCGTTCACCCATGCACATCACATTCTGCGTCAATATAATATGTATTATATACTTATATGTAATTGATAATTCATGTATATTGTGTTAGCTCAGGTCATTTATTGGTTACACAAACACTCCACAACCACAAGGGAGGTACCTATATCTTTATTTTAATGTAATAAAATTCTTTTTTTTTTTATATTTTTTAAGTGAGCTCCATAATTGCTTTAAATCAAGGCCCGATTCACATCAAATCCGAATTCATTAATTGTACGTTTTGACACACTTCCACGTATCCTGTCATAGATGATGACCCCAGCACGATCACTCAGATTTCATTCTGTTGCTTATATTTACGGGCTATAAATCTATAAATCAATGATAGCGGTGATCAACTGTTCCAAGCAAGAGCCAACATGACAAGAAGAAGAAATATTTTGGAATTAACCAAACACGTTCACATGGGAAACTAAATGCGGAAGACAAGAACAAACTACCTCAACGAAATCAGAGACTAGTATAAATTAATACTAATTAAATTCAAGCATAGAAACTACTTATTTAGCACGACAACTCTAGGTGGCATGTTTTGTAATAAATAAATAAATGAAAATATTTTTATTATGTTGGAGGAATTTCTGAAATTATTTTTTAATTATGTACTCTCTTTTACATAATTAAAAGAAAAACAGCAACCATTTTTTAACTATGTACTTCCGGAGTACATAGTTAAAAAATGGTTGCAGGAATTCCTGCAATAAGAGAAAAAAGGGATCCATAAATAAAATAGAAATTATCAAACAAAATTATAAACATACTTTAATATCTTGAAAGTTCAAAAAAAAAAATACATGAGATTATTTAATGAAGAATAGTAAATAATATTTTCATTTTTAAACCTGTAACTTAACAACACTAGTTAATATACTGAAAAAATCTTGCATAGCTTGCATGAATGTCAAATTTGTTGAGATGTTTTCCTCATTTAACGCTTTAGTAACGGAGCATTGATGACTCAAGCTCAAGACTCCAAAAAATGTAAATACTTTCCATTAATGAGATGAAATTTATTTGTGAAAAGTAAGCTAGTGTCTGAAAAGAAATTTGATAATGCGTAACCTTTTCAAAGAATAATATGCAAAAACAAATAAATTGAACATTCAATTAAGCAAATTGGGCCTCGACGCGAGATCTTTTTACTCAAAATGTGGCTAGAAAACGCTTGAATAAAATCCAAATAAATAAATAAAACTAACACTTGTTTGATCAAGTGACACCGAACTTATTTCTTTTTTCTTCAATTAAGGTATGAATTTCCGATCTTACCAATGGAAAAAAGTAGGCTTCGTGATAACTTTGTCATGTAAGTAATTAAGTTCATCTGACTTGACTTAAACTAATTGGAACCCAAGTGATTTTCGAATAAAGAGATTTCGAACAAAGATATAATATTTCTAATTAAATTAATTTCAAATTTTGTTAAAAATATCATAAAAATATTTCTTGAGTTCTTTTAAAAAATTAATTTTGTACTGTCTCACATGCAATTGGCGTTTCACAAACAGTATTCTTCTCTTCTTTTTTTGGAAGATTAAGAATAATATTTTAATAGCATAGACATATGTTAAAAAAAATTAAAATGATTTAATGTTTCAAAATTTCAACGAGTATTTAATATTTTTAAAGTACAAGTACAATAATCGAATAAAAGGGAGCATTTGATGTCCTATTACAGGACATCCTGCGATTCATTTTTAATTATGTATTATCAGGAGTACGTAGTTGTAATATTAAAGTAATTTTTTTAATTTTTTTTATGTACTTCAGAGTATATAGTTAAAAAATAATTGCAGGAATGAACAGTACCATTCATGCAACATGATGATTATGTTGGAGTATTCAAGTACGATGAGTTCCACATTGATTGGTAATGAGTTAAGTGGAGTCCATATAAGTGGGATGACCCATGAACCCAATGCCTTAAGGTTTTGAGTTGTGAGATAGTGTCGGATCAATTTGCTACGGTTGGAGTAGCTTAGCCCATTGATGGTGATCCCCTGCCATGAGCTTCTCCTGGACCCGCCTGACAGTGGTATTAGAGCCGGGTTGTGCTCGAGCTAGTTAGATGTTTGGTTAGAAGGTGGATTGAGTACTTTGGGCCTGGGTACTCAGTTGAGGAGGTGCATGCCAACGGTGTGTTTCACACTTGAGGGAGAAATTGTTAGTATTCAAGTGTGATGAGTTTCACATTGGTTGGTAAAGAGTTAAGTAGAGTCCATATAACTTTAAAGACCCATGAACCCAATGCATTAAGATTTTGGGTTATGACATGAGATTCACTTATTACGATTGAAGTAGCTTAGTCCGTTGGTAGTGATCCTCCGTCGTTAACTTCTCTTAGACTCACTGACAGATTATTATATTTTCGTGAATAAAATAATAAATACTCCATAGCATACCCTCGGAATACACACAGCTTAGCGAAATCTTTTTTCTTTATAACACAGGGATTCATTTAAGTCAGCATATGAGACATCTATTTCATAGTATGCTTACTCGTTGGGTGAGAAATGTGGCTCAAACGACTTCCACGGAGACAAAAAAAAAAACACCCGAGGATACAACCTAAAAGAACAGTTAATGCTGTACAAAAAAGAAAAAGGAAAATAATAGTTAATGCTGAATTGTGATATCAGAAGGGTTGCAACTTGTTGCTACCAACAACCTATAACTGCCCCCTCCCCTCCCCTCCCCTCCCCTCCCCTCCCCCCTCTTTAATAATAAGAAATAACCAGCTTCTATCGTCAATTTGCCTTTAGCGGGAGATTTTTTTAGAAATTTTGGGAAAGTGAGGTGGGGGGTTGAATCGAGATAATTTTGAATCAGAGTTCTAGATTTTTGTTCATACCTTGCTGTAATAATATCTTGAGGTTTGCAGCGATAACTTGATATATCTACCATATGACCATTGACTAAAACATGTCCATGGTTAACTAATTGACGGGCTTGGAGAATAGTCGAAGGCATACCCAATCGAAAAAAATATGTTATCCAAGCGCATTTCAAACAATTGTAGTAAAACCCGATCGATTGACCTTTTAGCTTTTCTGGCGATACGAACTTATTTAAGCAATTGTCGTTCTGTAAGACTATAATGAAAACGTAATTTTTGTTTTTCTTCTAAACGAATACGATATTGAGATTTTTTACTGGAGCGCGATTGGTTTATAAGTTCGCTTCCCACTATAGGTCTTTGGGGCAAATTTTTTTTCAATATTCGGTATAAGAAAATTGAAAATGTTCCCGAAAAACTTTTTTTTTCCATAATTTCATTTTTAACTAGAGAATCCCAAACGAAAATATTATCTAATACATGATATTTTCTTTCCAAAAGCATCAGTATAATTAATCTAACATTTTTGAAAAAAACCTGGACCTTCCAAATATTTTTTTGTAACTTATCTGGAAAAAAAAATTCTCATCATATTCTCAGAAATCGTTTTTCAAAATAAAAAAAAGTATCCTCTATAAATGTCGAAAATGGATCCTCTAATGTGAAAAAAAAAAACATGACATGGTCATGTGAGAAGATCACAACCATACAAAAGCAAATCAACGGTTATGATTTTGTAACTACCTATTTTAATATATTTTCTCTCTCCTCTTTTATTACCATTGATCTACTTTTATATGGTTATGATTTTCCACATGACATGATCATGTGATTTTTCACATTAGAGGTTCCAGATCCATAAATGTCCCGTTAAGGATTGGCTGGCGGTTGGAAATAACCATCCACAACTGACAACCAATATCCGCTTTTAGAAGCTTTTGATTAATTTAAAAAATAAATAAATTTAAATTTTGCATCATATTGGAACTCCACGTTACAACGTGTGGTCAGTTTTCCAACTGCTAAAGATTGCATTTCTTATCCACTTGAAAGAAGGCAAACATAACATTTCGAACTTTCGATCGAACTGAAGCAATGTTTTAAAATAAAATTATCAAATAATATAGTTTCCAAAAAAAAAAAATTATCATATAATATCTGTTCGGAGATCGAACATAAATGGATATGCTAGTAATTGTCCCTATTGAGAAAAAAAAATAGAGATGACTGGTAAGGAAATAAATATATGAAAATATATAATCTTAATATTTCTCTATTTTTGATGCCTAAGCCCTTCTAAAAAATATCAAGATAGTAGATTGCTTGTAATGGAGTAAAGGGTTCGAGTATTAGATTACCAACAAAAAAGAAAAAGGGTTAGGGTATTAAGATTTTGAATTTTAACTAGTTAAGTTGAATTGATTATATAAGTTAGGTTTCAACTTCCTCAATTTTCTATGTGTTATATATATATATATATATATATATATATATATATATATATATATATATATATATATATATATCTTATATTCTAAGACAAACCCATTCTTGAGCAAGTATGCTGACGTGACGTTTTCTCCTTCAATTTCACCTTTGTGTTCACACTACACAAATTTAAAAACCTTTCCTTCTTTGGTAAATCAGTTAATGAAAAAATTATAAACAAAAAGAGTTTTGTATTTAAATCGATGGACAAGATTTCATAATTCAAATCAATGGTCAATATTTGTTATAAATGGTTGTGGCGGACAACTCATTTAAATTTGAATTATGAAATTGAAAATTTAAATTTGATTTTTGAATTCTGAATGGTGGCAGCAACTCATTTAATGTTGAGCTACTTTCTGCATTGGAATTGTTAAAAAATTTAAAAAATGCATCTGCTTCTCTGTATTCTATGCGAATGCCTGGGGCGATTTTCTTGCTTCTGTTCATTTTTCTTTTTTTGCCTCTACCGCATGTCAGCTGTTCAAACATACAGCCTCAACGAAATAGCTTCTTCGTTCTCTCTTTTTTCGTCGTACCAATATGTTTTCAAAATATGATTTTATGAAGGATGTCAATCTTGCCAAGAAGGACTGAAGGATTAAGGTGAAAGTGGTTCGGGCTTGGAAAGTTC